AAAGTCACCTGGTTAGTAAGTGATGATCAGGATTTGTACCTTAGGAGAGCCCTCTGATGCTCTGAGCTGGGTCTCTAACCTCACCCTTTACTTCCTTGGAGATGCAAATTAGTAGGGAGAATGGACTGACCAACTCTCCAACTGGGGGAATGGGGCGGGGACTCCGAGGGGAAACTGAGGCATTTAGTTGGGGGCATCTCCTAGAGAGGTGGGATTCGAGGTATTCTCATTCTGGACGTGGGCACTGCCTTTCGAGGCAAATGAAACGCTAGCCCTCCTTTGCCAGATGGTCTTTTCCAGGAAAATCTGTTTTGAGAGGCGTCTTATGTCTGGGACTCCATATTTAGCCTGGCTCCTCGCATGGGAGGATACACTCAGGCTGTCGCCCCTGGAGAGGTATTTGGGGGTGCTGCCAGACCTGGCTCCTCGCCACAGTGCCGGCAGAGGTGAGGCCCTCTTAGCTCAGTCAACCCTTGCCTGCGGGCTGGCCATTCCCTCCAAGTTGCTGCCTTGGTCTGCTCACAGGTGAACTCAGGCCTCTTCAGGTAGCAAGTCGCCGCAAGGCATTGCCTGCTTTGCGTCAGGGTGGATCCAGTGTCCAGCACAGGGCAGCCCAGAGCCCCAGCTTGCTGTGTGTTTGGGGACTGACCCAGAGGAGGAATGTCCTCTCTCCAGATTCCTGCCCCGGCCAGCCCAGCCCTGGCTGTTTCTCTCTGGCCTGTCTCCTTCCATTCCTTTCCTTCCCTCACTCGACAGTTGAAGTCCTGTCTACCCTGACTGTCTGGTGAACACCCATCCAGACACTCTCGATATTAAACCTCAGAGCCTTTTGACCAGAAATTACAGACGTGCAAACACTTCACCCTGCATTCTTCAGTGTGAGTTTTCTGAGACAAGGCGAATTTTCGGCAGAATGACAAGTCAGTATCATACCCAAGATGTTTAACATAAATACAATTTAACCTCATATACAGTCCTTATGCAAATGTCTCTGGTTGTCGCAGTAATGTCCCTTATAGATTAAGAGAAAAGCTTTTCCTTTGATCGAGGATTACACATGGCATGTAATTCACATGTCTCTTTAGTTTCTTTTCATCTTCTCTCCTTTTTGGAAGTCTTTTTAATACCGTCAGTTTTAAAGAGCTCAAGCCCTGCCTCCTGTCGAATGTCCTAAATTCTGGATCTGCCTGATGGCTTCCTCATGATTAGATTCAGGTTAAATACTTTGGAAGCAGATCACACATGATGTTGAGCATCTTGCTCCGTCTGGCATGTCAGGGCACCCACGGGCTCTCCAGTAGGTGGGCAGGGTCAGAGCACTTGGCTAAGGGTCTCCTTTGTTTTTATCCCTGTCTAGCCCCCTCTCTTCTTCCAGAAAGTTCCCCATCTGGTCATTCATGCACCCAGTCAACACAACTGACTGCCCCTCTATTTCAGATGAGGAGGACGGAGATCAAGCAGACATGGATGGGGCCTGCAGGAGGCTCACAACCTCAGGGGTGGGATGGGGAGAGGCACAACTTGGGGGCAGGTTCTGTCAGAGGGGTGCTAGGGGCCCAGAGAAAGTAGAGAGGGGCATAACTACGGGAGAGGGGGTGGGATGGGGCAAGACAGGGAGGTGACCCTCCTACCCCAACTGGTCTTATTCCCAAGGGCCCAGGGGTGGGGTGGGGGTGGGCACAACACTGATTTTTTTTCTTAAAAGTTTTATTGTGCATTAGAAGGGGGTTTACATTTCAGATCACTATGTCTGCTTTCAACAACCCAACTAGGCTTCAAACCTCCTGTCTGCTTGCCTGGTCCCTTCCCCTCTTTCTGTCCTTCTCCCCCTTGTATGACATTGTCTTCCCTGTCACCCAGGTTAGCACCTGTCCACCTTTCAGCCTACTGCTTTCCTTTCTCTCTCCTTCCTGGTAACCTGCAAAGTCTGTCTCTTTTGGTATGAAAAACCTTTCTCTGGATTTCCCCTTTTTATTCTTTCATATAGTGGTCTCGAACAAGTCTGTCCTTTAGTAATTGACTGACTTCACCAGCACAGTGTCCTTCAGCTCTGTCCCCATCACGAGGCGCCTCGCAATTGACAGGGTTTCAAAGAGGGGCATCCTAGAGCCACTTTGGGCACTGGAAGAGGCAGCCAGGGGAGGAGGGAGCAAGATTGGCAGGGCCAGTGTGCCTGGAACAAGATCAGTCAGGAGGCCATGACATGGTCCAGGCACCGGATGCCAGGAATTGGCTTCAGGGCTGGGGTGCACAGAGGGAAACACATAGCGGGGGCTCGGACCCTGGGAGTTGTGCAATGTGGAGGTCTATTAGGAACAGTGGGAGAAAGACGGGGCTCAGAAACCCACAGGGGCAGTCCTGCCCTGTCCTGTCGGGTCACTCTGAGTATGCCTCCACTCACTGTCAGTGAGAGAGAGTCTGGGACCAGCGCACGGTGGGAGGAGGGGGAAGGGAAGGGCGTGGAGTGTGGAAAGGCGAAGAAGGAAGAGCTGGGAAAATGGCTTGGGAAGGGTGGTGAATTCTATTTTGAATGTGTGAGGTCTGAGGTACTGTCCAGGTCATAGGAATGGATAGCCTGACTTTTATGGGGGGCAGCTGCCTCCGACCAACTCTTGGCCCTTGCTCCAATTCTCTCCTCTGCTGGTGCCTGAAAGCCCGCTGTCAGAGGAAGGGTCAGTCAGCGCAATTGTACGGTTAGAATATATGAGGATTTTGGTAAAGTCACAGAGAATAGGAAAGATAGGAGAGAGAATAAAATAAGGGAGTCAAACACATTTTCTGTGGGAGAGAAGAGAGTGAGCCTTTACTATCTAGGGACATTTGTAGTAGCCTAAGACATGCATATTCAGTAGTTACAGGCATCACAAGGTGGGTGGGATCTACCTTAAGGCCCCTGAGCTCACAGGTGAGGAAACCGAATACCTGCATTGGGGGAAGGTATGAGGGGGGCTGGGTGACATGGCGGGAAGAGAGCAAAAGGATCAGGTCTGCTTCCACAGGGAGACAGAATCAACCATGTGCTCCCTTTAAGGCAGCAGAGCTGTTCGGGGAGACTCTGTGGGAATGATAGTTAAAGCAGGATAGTGTACTTGGACTTTACCTCTAACTGACCAAAGTGGAGGCTTTCCTCCCGTGGGATACCAGCTTTCCGGATTCCCTCTGCAATAAGTCGGGGAATAGAGCCCTCGTCCTATTTCCCTCGGTCT